TTCACAATGTTGTGTAACCATGGCCACTATCTATAACCCAACACTTTCATCCTCCCTAACAAAACCTGTACCCATGAAATGCTAACTCCCCACTCCCACACACCCCAGCCCTGGCAGTCACCATTCTACTGTCTATGAACTTGCCTGTTCTAGGTGCTTCATGGGGTACAGCGTTTGAGCTGGCGGTTTCCAGTCCCTCTCCAAGCCCTTTACTTAAGACACAGCTAGGTTACAAGATCACCACTTGTGGTGGGGGACAGTGATCCTTTCTCCAAACTTGAAGCTGGGCTGCCATTCTTACTCCAAAGTAGGGGAGGGGTTCTGTGGCTTGGAGGGAGAGCTTTGCTCTCCAGGACACCTACTCTCCAGGTCCAGGTGTCTCCCACTAGTCCCCATTTCTGATGTCCCCATGGTAGCGGCATGTTACGACCTTAAAGACTTCCCTGGATGTACTTAAGTTGCTGGATTTGGGGAGGGTGTAGGGTCCACATTCTGAACTCTAGCCTCCCCTTCCTTTGGAACCCAGGAGGATGGCCTAGCCTCCTGCAAGTATCCCCAAGCCCCATCAAAACTGGGAGGGAGAGCGGTGTCATCCTAGCAGCTACCCCAGGCCCCTCCACCGCTCTAGAAGTCAGAAGTCGCTCCTCGCCGCTCAGGGGCGCTCCGGAGCCACGGCCGGGCCGTGAGGGGTGCGCAGCCGGGGAGGACCCGCCGACCGCGCCTGGGCGCAGCCAGTCCTGCCCACTCGGCTACAGTGTGGGACGCTGCACCCAGGCGCCAGGGTCCCAGATGTGACACGAGGAACCGCTGTGGACTCGGAGTCGGCCGGGTTTGGGCAAGAGGAACCTCCCCGACTCCTCCTCCAACTTTTCCCGCTCGCCTGGGCCCCAAAGGCAAGGGAAACTGGCCGGGGATGGCGAGGTGGCATTCGGCGCCCAAACCAACGTGGTGCAGGCTGGAGGTCGGTGGCACCGGTGGCGCCTCCGCCTCTCTCTGCCCCCTACCAATTCTGTGAACCCCTCTCGGTCCAGTAGGTGCAAGGGTCGCGGCCCTGCGGTCCGGACGGACGCACGCTGCCCCAAGCCCCCGGACGGCGCCCAGTGCACACATCCGGGGCGCGTCCCCAACTCACCGGGCGCTGGCGGCGGCGCTGGCGGCTGGACAGACCGACGGGCTAGGGCGCGAGGCGAGGCCGCCGGGCTGTTTTGAAGCTCTGGGCTGGGACTGTGTGCCCTCCCTCCTCCCTCTCGGGCCCGGAGCCTCCTCCCCACAGCCCCCTCCCTGCCGGACCCCGCCTCCCGGGGCGTGAAGTCAGGAGCCGGGACAGCCGAGGGGAGGGGCCGCAAGAGGCGGAGGGGATCCTTCAGGGAAAGGCCCCAGGCGTCCCCAGCCCCGGCCCGCCTCCCTTTGGCCAATGTTGGGGCGGAGTCGGTAGTGGGGCCCCCGGGAAGAGCGAGAAAGACAAACTCTTCAGGCTGGCGGTCTCTTCGTTTTGCTCCCCTCGCGAGTTTCCACGTCTCTCTCCTATTCCCTTTCCACTCCTCCACGCCCACGCTACCCCCCTTTTCCCCTCTTGTCCTTTTGGGTAAGAGGCTTTAGGGGCAGGGCTCCCTGCTCTAGAAGCTCCTTTTTCTGGCACTTTCACTAATTTCATGAGCTTGTACTTAACCTTTCCTGCCTCTGTTTCCTCTCCTGGAAGCGGAAGTCATAACAGGCCCTCTTTCTTTTCTTTTGTCTTTCTTTCTTTCTTTCTTTCTT